TTAGTTTGCTTCGGAGCAATGATCTATCAGTGGGGTCTGAGGACAAGGTTATTAAGGCCATCGCACGTTGGGTGGACCATGCTGACGATGTCCATGATGAGAGACTCAATGTTCACGCTCCAGCAATGTTGAAAGAGGTACAGTGGCACCTAACGACGACTCAGTGCCGCAGTCGCCTTATGGAGACTTATCCAACATTCTGGAGAAGCTTCGAATGCACGTAAGCATATGCAATTCAATCTCATTTATTTGCCTAAAAAGTTGTACACTGTTTCAGATTGTGAATTGGATTGCCAATGCAGACCACGAACAGTCACCCTGTCCCTTCAATGTAAGGTCACGTCAGAAGGGAGAGAAAGAATGTGAAGCATCCAGGCACGTTTCAGGTGTGCAGGACCAAATACGAGTTGCTGTTGTACCCTGCTGCCATGTCGTGCGCGACGAAACATCTCGGCCGCGTCAGACGTTCTTTCTCTTTGGAGTAGAGAAAGACCAAAGAAGATGGTCTGTCCTACGTTGCGATCCCCATCTGCAAGAGGAAGAACGTATTGCTGAGATGCAAAAACGCTGGTGGGCCTCCTACAGTTTGGTAAATGGTGAGTTTTTCGGCACCTATACGCCTTCCTCAGCACATATTATTTTATTGAAGTCATTACTCGTGTGCAGGATTGTAAGCCTCTCTCACCGCAGTAAATATATGTTCCATAAATCAGGAAGGCATAGACATTTGAGCATTTTCAGTTTTTTAGATCGTCTACTACCTTACAGCTGCAAGAAATGATCCAATTAGAGTGCTGGGCAAGTAAAGCTTTTTTGTCGCGATCGGCGTCTGCTTTTTAATAGCGGAGCAGACAGGTTATCAGAACCTCTTGCCTTGCACCTCATCCGAAAACTTTCTTTTTTTTACGTTTTCGCCCTCTCGAAAGAGAGCATTTTCGTGGTTGGAGGAGGAAAGGACTCAAGACGTGTTGAGGAGCTTTTGGTGAGCGAAGGATGCTGGCGCGAGCGGGCGCCTCTAAACGTTCCACGCTGGGGTCACGCTGCCGCAGTCCTAAAGGTTGAGGCTGTCGCCTCTGCTGTTGCCGCCGCTGCAAACGAAAAAATGACTCTGATTGGTGTTTTTGGCGGATGTTTAAAGGAAGGGAACACCTGGACACATATTTCCGCTTGTGAAGTCTATGACATCAGCCTGGACAGGTAAGAAAACAATCGTCGTTCTAGATCTATTTTACGAAAAGTAACTACTTCCCTCACTTGTCAATTCGTCTTTCAATAGTTGGCAAAAACTGCCCAATCTGCGGGAGAAGAGGTGGAGCCCAGCCGCTGCCACCCTACCCGGCGACAATCGATTCTTCGTTTTTGGAGGCTTTGATGGTTCCTTACACCTAGCTTCCGTAGAGTTCTGTCATTTAGCAGCGAACTGGCAAAAGCAGGCGACTTCACTAAGTCCAAATGAATTTTGGCTGCCAGCTGCCCCCATGAGAACCACCAGGTCAGGGCTCGCAGCGACACACTTTCGGGGAAGAATCCTGGTCGCCGGTGGGTATGATAGCCGAAGGCTTATTAAGAGTGTGGAGATGTTCACGCCGCCAGACGCCAGTTGTTGCCTCGGCCAGTGGACAGAGTTATCTGGCATGAAGGAGCCTCGTTGTTATTTCACTCTTCTAACTTCCTCCGACAGGATCTTTGCTATCGGCGGTAATTTCTTTTACATTTTTTTAACAGTAGCGCACAATATCTTGCATTTGTTTCTTATCATACTATCTCATATTTCCAACCCAATGCCCAATTGTTATAAAACAGAAAGATTAAAGCACCCACGTGCGACTCAGTCTGCAAATGTAACCTGACGGTGCGTTCGACATATTTTCACGAGCACCTCGCCATTAGAGCTAGAAGAAGTCGGTTGGGCCTTCAAAGCGACTCATTTCTCTAATCTCTATTCTCTGGTATAAATTCCTATTAATTGTTTACGATTTGTAGGCAACGACGACGAACCGAAAAACACGGTGGAGGTTTTTACTACAGTAGAATGTTCAGCTGACATTGATGACTACTTGACATCTTGGATGTGGTCGCCCTTGAAGCCTTTTGAAACGCTTCACCGGATTGTTGGAGCTGCTGGGATTCGCATGTAAACGGCTGCGTTTATTTTTTTCAATACTGACATTGGATATTCTCCATTGTAAGCACACTAAAAATAAACGACCTGGAAGTAAAATTACCTTCCATGTTGTTATTCGCAAATTTTTGAAGGAATTGCGATGGCTTACCCTTGATATAATTCACTTAATTGATGTTTTGACTTACCGCTGCATGCTCGGCGCTGGGACTTCGCCTAGACAAGGTAATTAGACGCCAAGACAGCTTACTGACGGCCGCTAATCTTGGTGGCGATATCGACGAGATGAAATGCCCAGTAGTTCACATGAATGCTGAAATCCGACAGTCAGCAACGCGTCTGCATGTGTTAGGCGTTGGAGATGGTACTCTTGAACGACACACCGGCGCACAGTCATTGTATGAATAGTACAGGCTTTAACACTAGGCTATTCAAGCCAGGATACGCTCGTGAGATGCCAACTGCATAGCGGCCAAACAACTACATCCTGTAAGTACTGCTAAACATGAGCAATCCACTGCCCTTATCTTACTCTGCTTGTGATGCTGGATTTCAGAGCTTTCGAAGCACAGGGCTAGTAGAGCTCTTGTTTCACCGATCGTATGTTCATCCACCTCCACCCTTCCATCTCGTGAAATGCAGGCACTCCTGCTTCGCTGAAGACTGCTTCGCAAAGGACTTCCGAACTTTTGTGTTGCCGAATCTGGAGTTTGCTAGCCTAGCATGGAAACACTGGGCTACTAAATACCTTAGCATACTATAAAAAGTTTTGCGGTGTACAACGAACTGGACAGTGGTCACTGCCCTACGTCGCAGGGTTAGCTATTCCTGATCTCTTTCCTTCGAGGTAGAGGCAGCTACGAGGTGGCCTAGTAAAAACTTTCTGCATCCTGCGCAATCAGGACTGCTGCCTCGTGCAAGAAGATATTAGTCTATTTGGCAAATACGACTAAACTGCGAGGTCATCCAATCAAACTACCTGTGACTGGTGCCCGGCTAGACACTCGGGACTTCATCTGTAACAGATGAGTTGCAGCTTAGAATGCTTAACCAACGGACGTCGTTATGTCTAGAACCGTAGAACCTTGTAAAAGGAGGCTGGATCAACATGGGAGTGCGCACCACAATGCCATACGACCTCACCCGTCCTGATAGCCAATGTCAACATCTTAGTGATACAGTGACGCTACTACTGGTATTTAAGTAAGAAATGTTAATTGAATTTATTAATTTTCGAACGACAGCGCCCACTGCTGAGCTCGTTTACCAAGGTGCTCGCAGACTATAAATCTTGTTACTTTCCTATTGCTTAGGTTTGCTTCAAATATTTACCGTATTAATTTGGAGAAAATGATGTGCTCCCCGCTTTGGGCTTATTTAGGTGCTGAGGTTTCGAAGAGCTTTATCGGTTCCCTATTGTCAAAACGTAAAATCCGCATAACCGACTGGGAGCTGCATTGCCGTGTGGAGTTTGCCGGCACCATGCTGCTGTGTGCTTTTTGAGTTGACGCTAGGTCGGGGGAGGTGACTGAACTTTCGTCGGGCGGTCGGTCAGGTGGTTCTTCTTTCCCCAGCCGAGTAGACTCGCCGGCGGCCTGTCTATATATGGCCTTCTTAAGTCCAATGCGTTTACTTGGTCCTGAGATTTAAGGACGTAATGATGTGCGACTTTGTAGGCCGCAGGATCGTCCATCTTCATTTTGATGGAATTGGCATTACTGTTCCACTCCTCATGTGTTAGCCGCTCTGTTTTTTGTGTTGTCCCGGCCTAAGATGGGCGTTCGGTCGTTTTTGGCCGAGGGCTCACCAATTGCAGTAGCATCTGCGAAGCAAATTCTTCGCATGCATTAAATACCTGAAGTTATATCCAGACGAACTCATGGTCTAAACCCCACTGACCATCCTTCTAGAGGCGGAGGCACCGAGGGGAGAGCAAAATCGATCAGCATGGTGTCGACAAACTCCACGTGCCAAATCAGTTCCTAGTCGGGTAAGCGCACTTTACGTCAATGGGAGTCGCTTAAGCTCTTCAAAACCTCAGCACCTAAATAAGGCCCATTCGGTGGGCCCATCTTTTTCCCTAAATCTGCCACTTGGATCTCTCAATGTTTGTTATTCTGAGAATCCGCATATGTTCAAACGAAGCATGCGATCGGTGATGAGAAAGGCAATTAGTTTGACACATGTTGTAGTTCATTAACAGGATGGAATGGTTTATCTTTTCGTTGGATGTAACTACGTTGCTATGAAATTACATAACCGGTGGTCTTGCGTTCTGCATATCAATCTAAACTGTACCACTCACTGGAGGATTTTTCTGTGATTTAGCTCAAGTAAACGCCACTGCGAATGTAATGTTATCGGACATTTCTGGCCACAGTGCATTCGATAGGGTGAATTACCTAGAACTTCCACTTATTCGCCTTCAGTTTTCAAAGAAACTGGCATGTGCGATACCAATGCCAAACTCATTATGGCTAACGCAGGCAACGACTGAAATTGCCCACGCTGCCAGACACAGTTTGCCAAAATTTCCCCTCTGCAATGCAGAATTGAAGTGTCGAAGGAAGTCCCAGTCGGAGATTTCACGGGCATCAAATACTGACTGCAGACAGAAATCAGTCTATAACCAGGAATTTGAGGTGCAATTTAGCATGCATAGTTGAATGGGAACATGCAGTATTTTAGAAATGCCTCTATACTTTACCATTTGTAGAATGAAATGTCTATTGGTCGTTTTTATTCTTCTGAGGCTCTTTTGTCAGTACATGGTCAAGCGCTCTCAAAGTATCATTGTTAATGGCAGCCGATGACGTAAGCCACAAGCACAGAAAAATTGGCCAGCCAGAGCCAAATCGCTCGAAGATAATTTTGAAATCCTGCCCGAGTCTTTTACATTTAGGGCTTTAAAAATGGCAGTCCGAACGAGCTTTCCAAAGCAGCCGCCTTTCGCTCAGTGTGTATCGACGAGGTGCTTGTCCCCTGAAATCACATATATAGTAACCGATATATTCACCTGATTTTGCGAAAGCACACATAAGGGCTTGGCGTCTGGACAGAGAGTACATTGTAAATTATCTAAAAATATGACTTTATCTTAGAGTTGAGGTTTAATATGCTCATATACAGTGAGTGACCTATCTCATGAAATGTTGACTGAAATTCTGCAACGTGTTTTCGATTAGAAAGGACTACTTAGGCGCGGTTGTAATACTCATTATCTTTCGGCAAAATCGTATAGCATTTTGGACTCGGCAGGATGTCGGTTTTTAAACACACCGCTTTCATCTCCTGTAAACAATGTAGTCGGTAAAAATGACTACTTAAGTAGCATGCATTTTTCTCATTGATTTTCGATGGTCTTGCAAATTCAAATATATCTTATAGAAACCATAAACAAAAATACGCTTTCTTTCAATCGATTAATAGAGAATCACGTTTTCTTTATATTATTTATTCAGGGAAGGAGCATAATTAGGTTTTAAAAAAGTTTTCCAATTCCCGAATAATTTTGAGCCAGATCTGCCATTGCATTACTGTTTAGCGATTTCAGTTTACAAAGTGCATGCTTTCTACGTGAGGAAAATCACATATTCCTCTATATTTTTAGGAAGACAACTTATATAGTTTATAAATTTTTTTAATGGATCTGGACTATGTTGTACATTTCACGAGAAGCTGTCATAAACTGACAGGTACGATGCTATGTGAATGGACATTGCGCGGTCTTAAAAAATCTCATAATTAGAAACTTTTTTAAAACCTAATTATGCTCCTTCCCTGAATAAATTATGTAAAGAAAACGTGATTCTCTATTAAATGACTGAAAGAAAGCGTATTTTTGTTTATGGTTTCTATAAGATATATTTGAATTTGCAAGATCATTGAAAATCAATGAGAAAAATGCATGCTCCTTAAGTAGTCATTTTTTACCGACTACATTTTTTACAGGAAATTAACAAACGGTGTGTTTAAAAACTAACATCCTGCCGAGTCCAAAATGCTATACGATTTTGCCGAAAGATAATGAGTATTACAACCGCGCCTAAGTAGTCCTTTCTAATCAAAAACACGTTTCAGAATTTCAGTCAACATTTCATGAGATAGGTCACTCACTTTATATCCTGTTAGAAGACTTTTGAATGTTTAGAGTAAAGATTCTGCCTTGATTTGCGAAACAGTGCTGAAGGATGTCCTTCGGAGGCATGCATTTTCTCAAGGCGCTGAGCAATAAATACTTACAGCTAATGATGACAAGATTTACACATGCAAATTGCATTTATTAAATTCCATTAAGTATACATCAGGTTCAGGACCTTAAAGAGCCGTACGTTGTCATGCGTGATCTATTCGACCCTGTCTAGAAAATCCATTGAGTTCAAGTCTATAAGGCCATAAAACTTTTGTGAAAGTGGTGTCCATGATACTGTGTTAAAAATGTAAACGTGCTTAATACAGGATTATTTAAACTATGAACACAGTCTTCACTATAGTGAATAGTCACTTCTAGAACACACATTCTAGGGGATCCTGTTTGGCGAAGGCATTGCTCGCAAAGTAAATACTTTCCCATATTGCCCATCTTGTCCATCGAGGCATAGACAAATATTCTCGCAGTAGTATGCTTCTGAGAATAATTTTATCCAAGCCTGGAAAAATGAGATTTTTCACCTGAATCCGCGTCCTATGCTGAAGAGTAGACATCGATATGACGAAGGCTTCTGCCAGAGCGTTGACAATGTCGTACTCGTATTCACTTGTAAGGAAATGCACAACACTGTAATTCAGCCTTGTGACAGATAGCTGAAAGGAAAAAAAACTGTCATAAAACCCTGCAGAGGACTTGAGTCACATGCTAAACTAGAAGCACTTACGTTTACGGCGAACGCAACAGTTGTCGCTGGAAAAGTCACAGAGCACCTGAATAGTTTAAAGTCCCTTGTTAGGTTTGCGTGCAACAACGAGCAGTTTTGAACTTCTGCTGGAATCAGGATTTTCAGCATGAACGATGTAGGA